AACCCAAGTCTTAAGCCACGTCACCACGACCCTTTATAAATTAATGTATTTTTACGACTAAAAAGTTGAAAGACCAAGTACAAAGACACGACGCTAGCACATAGAAAAATTCGTGAGGTCCGTTGGTTCGTTCCGTGGCTTAGTTGGTATAGCGTCTGGCACGGTATGCAAGAAGACGTCGGTTCGAATCCGACCGGATCGAAGGAATTTTTTCTGAGTGTTCGATCTTTGTATTAATAATTATAATCTATTTTTTCTTTTTTTTCTAAATTTGTATTTTAAATTGTAATTTATTTGTTTTCTATTATAATTAATTCAATTTTCGGATTTCCTTGTTTACCCCTTGTTCGGACACCTTTACCATTCAAAACCGGAACACAGTAATGCTGACATTAGTGCGTGGCGGCTGAAATAGGTAAGGTAGGTGCTTCCCTTGGACGAACGAACTCTTTCACTCTTTCTCTTTCACTTTCTACTGGTACTAGAACTGTAGCGCAACGCAGCCCTATTAAACATTTTTTTGTCGGTCTATTGTAGTCGGTGTATGTCTGTAACCCCGTTTATTCACATTATGTGAGTTGCGTATTTTCGTGGTCTGACAATATGTCATATGGAATAATATAATGTCGTGTGGAAGTAATTTGACATATTGGTCCACTCTCAACTACATACTTCTTTCCGTATAAACGTTATCGATAACTATTTTAAAAATTCTTTAATCAACGACTAATAAAGATGGATTAAGGCACTGTCTTACAATTTATACCGAAATCTAAATGTGGAATTTCATTGTGTGGTGTGTGATGCACTTTGGTGGCATGGCTTACTGGGCTGCGATCGCTCACCATATGGTACTGGCAACAACTAGCACTGTTTGACTTCTCACGGCCTACAGTATTTATGCTGAGTCAGGGCCATTTCAGCACAAACTGTAGTCGTACATCAAATTTTGTTCGTTCTCACAGTATTTGCTTGTTTTTCTCACAATATTTGTTATTCTCGCAGTGTGCGTTGTACATAAATGTGTATTAAATTAATAATGTATGTTCTATATGCTTTTGTTTTATACTCTGTGAAGTGATTGTAAATAAAAGTTTTGTTTCTGTTTATTTGTTTGTGATTTGTGGTGAATAAACGTGTTATTTACCTATCTATGTATATATCTAGCTAAAATAGTAAGTAGTCCTTGAATATTCGTAATTTATAACAATAAAAAAACTTAGTCCATAGATTATTTTTGGAAAACGCTTGTTTTTACGTCTTGCAGTAGAATATTATAAATTTTTATAATTCAGTACCTGCGGCGTGACTATAAAACATAAAAGGTATGAACAGGCAATTGCCGACAAATGGAGTAGGAATTGAGGTTGCCGGGGAAGTCATTAATCAGGTGCAGGAAATAGAAAAGCTGTAAACGCGAATTAGACCAATGAAAATGGTTCTCTAAAAGCCTATAAGTCTATAGTATGGTGTTACACGTATTTTAACAATATTTTCTTGTAGTCTTATGAGGTAAGAGCAGATACATAAAGGGATTGATAAAAAAGAAATTGTGAAAGTCAAACAAACACTCGTCCAAAATTATGTTAAAACTAGGGAACGCCTGTAAATCTAACAAAAGCGTTTTTTTTTTGAGAAAATTAATTTCATATCTAATTTATATTTATTTAACAATTTCCAAGAGCTATTTGTGTAGGTATAGAAATAAATAATATAACCCAAGATTATTTACTAGTTGTTTCCAGTTTCCTAAAAATGAAAGCAATTGTAGTATTCGGTTCTCATGTTGCAATATCCGAGTAGGTCCTTTGTCCGGCCCTTTGTTTACTCGAGAGTTCTCCACTGCCCGTTCTTGGATTCACCCTTTGTGGCAATCGAGTTTATTTTTTTCGCCCGGACACTATAGTTACATTTGTTGTGTAGCAATTATTAAAGGTGTAGAGTAGTCGTGAGTTTAAGAAGCATTACATGTATAAAATGTCTTTACCATTTGTTTCTCGTTTGTGGCAAATATTGAAATAATACGTAAAGTTTCTAAGATATATAAGGTAATATCATAAGAAAAGAAAAGTATTACCTGCCTTTACGCTTACCGTTTGTGGACTACGAAAAAGCCTTTGAGTCGATCTATATCAGGCTGTAATGCAGTCTCTTCAGCGGTGTCAAGTTGACTACCGGTACATTGAAGTGTTGAATATCTGTACGAAAACGTGACTATCTCAGTTTGACTAAAGCGCGAAGCCTATGCTGTTGCAGCGTGGCGTCCGACAGGGAGGTAGAACATGGATAAGACAAAGATCATGTCGAATAACCATAGCTGCCAATGACAAATTATCCGTTTAGGTAGGTCCAACTTCGAGAAAGAGGTCGATTGTCATATTCGACTTGGCTGAGTAGCGTTTGGAAGTTACGCCATATCCTCTTGTCCAATATACGACATTGCCTTAAGGCAAAATCTTTGACTAGTATGTCTTGTCTTATGGCACTAATGGTCCTCATAGGAAGGCTCAAGATGACCCAAAGGGCAATAATAAACGACATAGTCCAAATAATTGCAAAACCTCTAGTGGCAGTGGGCGCGGCATATTGCTCGCAGAACAGGTAGCCGATGGGGCTAAAGTATTCTCTAGTGGCCACCGCGTACCGGAAGGCGCAGTGCGGAGGCAGACCACCCACAAAGTGAATCGATGATTTGTATGAGCTATATGCTATGAAAAATTATAATACTAATTCCAATTTCATAGAATATGTTAGAATTTATTCAAAAATATTTAAAAAAGTATGTGTATCTGCTAAGGTTAAGTTTCACAGCGACAAAATTAGACAATCGATAAATAAATCTAAAACTACTTGGAGCATAATAAACAAAGAGTCAGGCAGGGTTAAACAACACGATAGAGATATAGTTTTAGAATTAGACAGTAAACTTATAAAATCTAAAGATAAAGTAGCCCAAGCTTTTGAATCGTTCTTTTCGGAACTTGCTGTGAACACTACAGAATCATTAAATTCCTCCCCTTCACTTGCTATTGATCTCCTAAAGGAAAATGTTAACGTTTGTGGCAGTTTATTTAATTTCTGTCATGTTAATCCACAAGACATCATAAAAGCTTTTAAATCAATACGTTAAAAAAACTGAAAAACCTTATTCAAAAGCGGTAGGAAAGTTGATCCTAGCAACTATAGGCCCATTTCAATTTTACCAGCTTTAAGTAAAATATTCGGAAAGGTTATGCTGACTCAATTACTGTCCTATTTCGGTAGGAATCATATTTTTCATAGTGAACAATACTGGTTTACTAGTGGTAGATCGACTAGCGATGCGGAGGTAGCGTTACTAAAACACATCTTTGATGCCTGGGAAAGGTCCCAGAACGCTATTGGTATTTTCTGTGACCTCTCAAAGGCATTTGATTGCGTTGTTAATATCACTCTTATTAGGAAGCTTGAACATTACGGTGTAAATGGCAAGGCGTCGAAACTTGTCTCGTCATATCTCAACGGTAGAATTCAGAAAGTAGACATAAATGGAGTGACTTCTTTGGGTTCTCCGGTAAAAATGGGCATTCCACGGGGCTCAATACTTGGGCCTTTCTTATATCTGATTTATATTAATGATCTGCCATTCTTTGTTAAGGACCATTGCGAAATAGTGTTGTTTGCTGATGACACATCCTTGATTTTTAAAACGGACAGACATGACATTAACTATGACCATATTAATGATACCCTCTCTAAGGTAGTTTATTGGTTTAATGCTAACAATTTATTGCTTAATGCCAAGAAGACAAAATGTGTTAAATTTGAATTACCTAACGTAAAATCGACTAGTCCAAGCATAGAAATAAACGGAGAAAAGTCAGACCTTGTTAATAAAGCAGTCTTCTTGGAAGTGACCTTACATAGTAAACTTCAATGGTTTCCACATATATCTTCCCTGGCCAGCAGGTTAAGCTCCGCTGCATACGCAGTCCGCAGAATACGTGAGCTTACCGATGTTAGTACTGCTAGACTAGTTTACTTTAGTTACTTCCATAGTATAATGTCCTACGGGATTCTCATGTGGGGTAAAGCGGCAGATATTCAAACCATATTTGTATTGCAAAAACGAGCGATTCGTTCTGTGTACCGTCTAGGCTCTCGGGTTTCTCTCAGAGAAAAGTTTAAGGAGACTGGTATACTGGTAGACTGGAGACTGTGGCATCACAGTATATTTACTCAAATATTTTATATGCTCGTGAAAATATACATAATTTCAATAAGAAAGAAGATATCCATAATATTAACCTTAGAGCTAAGTCCAAACTCATGGTACCACGATTTCGTTTAACCAAGGTAAACAACTATGGGGAACTGTATACGTTTTTACAATAAGATTCCGGAGCATATATTAAGTTTATCATTTCCTAAGTTTAAATACTACATTAAAAATATTTTGATCGAAAAATCATATTACAAAATTGAAGACTACATGTTAGATAAAGATGTATGGAAAGACGACATGGCTCCAGAATCCACACAAATTTGATACAAAATGTATTCCGTAGCATTTAAGTTGAAAAGAGCAATCCCTAGAGTTTCTTGCTCGTTCTTCTCAGGGAGGTCAGCGTAGTGAACGAGCAGTAGCTTAAATGTGACGATTTCAAGTGTAAATTTATTACACCTATGGAATAAATAATCTTTGACTTTGACTTTGACTTTGATGACCTGGTGAAGGTTGCGGAATCCGCTGGATACAGCAGCACAAGACCGGTCAATGTGGCGATCTTTGGGGGTCTAGGTTCAACAGTGGACGTCTTTCATGGAAAATGATGATGATGATGAAATATAAACCACGTTCAATTGTTTAGCCGTTAATTTTAAGATTTTTATCGCAAGGCCTTTATTTGATGAACGTTATAAGAATTCGTTGTGATTATTCCCAACTGTCATAACTATTAACATACGTTAAGTTGTACGTATATATAATAGTTCTTACATTTGATTTTCTATTGTCACAGGCCCACAAGAAATGAAACGGAAAAGGTGTATCCACAGTCCGAGCGTCGCATGGTGACGTGTGGTAGCATGAGCCGTGACGTCACCATGATGCGCTGCCTGCTGCTGTGTCTCGTTACGTTGTCGCTACAGCGCTCGCGTGCGTTCGTGCTCGACAAACAGAATCCTTACTCACAGTTTCGTAAATGGAACGCTGACCTCAACGGGACCCTTGAACTTGAGTTCAAGACAGACCAGCCTAACGGTCTGTTGCTGTACACGGATGATGGAGGAAAGTACGACTTCTTCGAGCTGAAGCTCGTCAATGGCGCGTTGAGATTGAGGTATAATTTGGGAGGAGGCGCACAGATTATAACGATCGGAAATAATCTGCACGATGGACACTGGCATAAAGTGCAGGTAAGTAATGGACTTTATAAACCCTTCGATTAAGTTATACATACTACAAATTATGAACACAGTTTCGTAAAGACAAAATGTGATTTTGACATTGAAGGCATTCTTATGCAGTAGCAAATGACTTCAGTTTGTTTAGCCTCCGAACGCAGAAAAATTTCACCACTTAAAGCGCTCTCGCATCTTATAAGATAGAAGTGGAAAAGTCAGCGTTTGTCGGACGCGGCCGCAGCGCCACCGCTGTCGTCGCAACGGCGCTCGACGCTGCAAATTCTTATTCCCCGCATTCACCCTCATTTAAGAAGCTATGTAAAGACGCCACATATTTCCTTTTAGAAGCTTAGCTTGGCATACATACGAGCTCCCTATCTCGTCCAGCACCAAAGGATCTTTAAGCAATATTTTGTATTGCACGGAAACTCAGATTCTGGTAGAGATAGAATTTGAACGAGCTGCACGATATTCTTCGGTTTTCTTCGGTTAGGTAATATGGGAACTGGGCTTATCGGAAATGATATTCGTGCTGTCTTTAATGATTCCAAACATTCAGGACAAAATTTATAAAATTCACCGTCGCATTCGATGATGAGCCATTTCCGCACGAAATCTCTCTCAACAATCGTCCAGCGGAGGGAGATTCTATTAAAGTTAATTTGTCGTTGCTGTGCTCATTACGTCATGACAGAAGTGTTTTTCTTTTTGACTTTATAAAAATATATGTGTGCATGGAATCTATGCTTTGTATATGGGTATGATTTATAGGAAACTTCGTCATTGGGTCATCTGTCAATCATATTATTGATTGGAATCAATAATAACACTGGTAGCCAGTAGTGACGCTACATGTGCAAATTCAGTCAGGTACGTTTCCATGGTGCATAATAGTGTCACTCTGTCAGTGTGGGATTATAGTAGGAATTGCGATTCACCATCATCATTATGCTGGCGGCCTTTTCGTGATCTAATCTTGGATGTAGACCTCTTCCCTCTTCTTCCATTCTTGGCGACCTTGTGCACGACTTATCAAGTCCAGACCTCCGTGTCGTCGGATGTCGTCCATCCAGCGGTAAGGTAGTCTGCCGCGCCCTGTGATGTCCTCTCTGGGTCTCCATTCAAGTATTCGCCTTCTATAGCCAAGATTTTTAATTTTGTCCCTATGTCGGATCGAAGTGTTACTTTTTCGGTCTCGCGAGGTGACCCCGAGCATTGCTCTCTCCATGCCCCTCTGCGCGACTAGGAACTTCTCGGCGGACTTCTGTGTAAAAGTCATGGTTTCCGTGTCTGGTTTGCGATTAACCTTTATTATACAATTGTGTGTTGTGTATAGGTGGCGCGGCATGACGAGCACACGTCTCTGGCGGTGGACGGAGTGTCGCAGAGTAGGACGTCGCGCGGAAAGGAGTTCGCCTTCGGCAAGTTCACCACCAACTCCGATGTATTCGTCGGCGGCATTCCGCCCTCGTGAGTACACAACATTTACTTAAATCAAAAATAAATAAATCGACAATAAAATTGAATAATGAAACAAATATGTCAAATGGCTTCCTAAACAAGCTTCACAGGGCTTGGAGTACCGAGTGCATGGCATGGCTCTCTCTGATAGCCTGCCTTTACCCGTAATAGTTACGATTGTACGCATCTAAGAGTGATTGTATTGCGTTGTGTATTTGCTCATCAACACTTTATTTTTTGTTCCTTTGTAAACTTTGCTAAGACGACCACAGAAATAAATTTGATCAATGTCATATATCACAGGCTATTCTTTGTAGTCATGTTTAATAGGCGTAATAATTAAATTATATGCCATAGGCCTCCATCAAGCTTAACGTATTATTAATGACGATCTCGATGGCTCGCCGGTGTGTACTGTGGGCACTGGATGAAGAGGTCTCGGGTTCGATTCCCGGAAGGATCAACTTGGGAAATGAACTTTTCAAAATTGGTTCTGGCCTAGGTGTTCTGGGAAGTGCCCTAGAGTGAACTCCTAGTACAGGGAATTCCACAGTTTGAGACCAGACAAATAAATAAATAAATAACGCACACACTCAACATAGCCCCGTACTAGGGAAACCCTGTGTCGCGGGTGCCATGGACACACACATAGACAACCACAAATTACACCCAAACTCACGAGAGAAATAAATGTAGGCCATGCAAACATTTCTCCCGGCCCGGGAATCGAACCTGGGACCTCTGCGTGGCAGTGGCATGGTAACAGTTCGGCCACGGAGGCAGTTAAGGAGGCAGTTTAATGATATGGTTATCTGGCATATCGTTATTATTATTCACTAAATAATTTAAGCGGTGATCTACTGAGCGCTCGGTCAAACTAGCCAGCTTCATTCTTGTTTGACATTGAAACTTCTTGTCATTCGTCGTAAATCAGCTTACCGAACCGCACGTACATTTACTCGCGTGAACTAATTTTACAATCTACCGTCAATATGTCGCAGTGTGATAAATGTAGTAAAAATATTACTAAAACTAAACCTGGAGTTGAATGTGGAAAATGTCGAAAAATGGTACATTTTAATGAATGTTCCGGCTTAACATCGAAACAGAGGACAGCTCTACGAGCTAACGATAGCCTGGAGTGGACCTGTGAGGAGTGCCAAGAAGTCTCTCCTAAGCGCCGATCTGTATTTATCCCCGAGGATGAGGATCAGGAAGAAGGTTCTAAATTGGACTTTATGCCATCAAGGCACAATACATCAATTGATATTAAGAAGCTGCTTCGTGATATCTCCATAGAGGTGGAAAAGTCGATGAAACGTGAGCTGAAGGATCTAACGAAATCATTTGAATTCCATACGGACAAAATGGACGAAATTTTAGACAACATTGAGGCTTTTAAAACTACTGTACAGGACCTGAAAAAAAAGAATACGGAACTCGTTAACAAAAATAACAACCTAGAGATACGGGTAGGAGCGTTGGAGCAACGTATACAGGAGCTTGAGCAGAAACAACTTGCTAAAACAATTGAAATCAGCAACATTCCAAATAATTTCGAAGGAGATTGCAACATTGTGTTAAAAAACATTTCAACACATTTGAAGGTACCTTATAACGAAATAGAAGAAGTAAAACATTTGTCTGGTCGCAAAGATCGCTCTGGAATGTTAATGGTGAAATTTCGAATTGAAAGCGATAAAAGAACATGGCTTGAAAATGCCAAAACCACAAAGATCTCTATTGGTAATATTGTATCTAATTCTTCAGGAAATGTCGCTAAGGAACCTATTTATATACGGGAAGCTTTAACACCTTATAATAAAAAATTATTGTGAACTGCAAAACAAGAACTCAAAGATAAATATAAATTTGTATGGTGCAAAAATGGAATAATAAGGGCCAGAAAAGATGAGAAGGTCGAAGCTATCATAATTCGCTCTGAAGAGGACATAAAAAAAATCAAGTGATAAGTTTTATTCTAAGTACGTACATGTAAACACTTCACACGACACACTATATAAGTTAAATGTCTGTAATATTAGATGAAATTACTGAAATCTCTAACTGCACGGATATTAACTGTTTTATCGAAAAAGTTACATCTAACCATAATAAAACTAATCTTTTATGCATGCATTTAAACATACGATCCTTAATTAAAAATTTTGCCGCGTTAGAGCAATGTATACATTCAAGTAAAAGGTGTATAGACATAGTAGTAATCACTGAGGTTAACATCTCAGACTCATTAAGTTGCCTTTATAATATTGATGGCTACCAAATGCATACAGAGTTACGGAAAAATCAACGAGGTGGAGGCATAATCATATACATTCACAATAAACACAAATTTACAATTACTATAAACAAAACACAACACTGTGAATCCGTATTATTGAACTTTGAACCACAACGTAATCTACTCGTAACACTGTGCGCTGTGTACCGACCCCCCCATACAAGTAAACACCTGTTTATTGACGAGTTGAGAAATGTTTTAAAAAATATAGACACTAATAATGAACTGTTCCTAATAGGCGATATTAATATTGACTTACAAAATAATTCACCTATAAAACATAAATATAATTGCATGCTGTACGGCTGTGGACTTGTGTGTGGAATATCGCAATACACCCGAATTGAAATGGTAAAGAATAAAATTACTCAAACATGTATTGATCACATCTATGCAAGATCCCGCACGCAAGACGTCTACACAGCGGCGTTATGCACGAAACTGGCAGATCACCGAGCTATCGCATTCGCATGCACCGGCGATGTGTTCTCTCAAACAAATATACGAGGTGAACAAAAATATAAATTATGTTTTGACCAGTTACAGTTACAGAAAGATACTTAAGCGAAATTGAATGGGAACAAATAAACGATATGACCTGTCCTAATTTAATATACAATTTCATGAGTAATAAAATAAATAATTGTTATAAAAAAGCGCAAATAAGGATAAAGTTAAGTAGAAACCCAAAAAAAGAAAATAATAAATGGATTAGTAATAAAATTGTACAAGCATGTAAATATAGGGATACATTGTTTAATGAATGGCTAAAAGATACTAATAATATGATAATAAGACAAAAATACAACAAAACTCGAAATTTTGCCAATAAAATGATTTTAAAATCAAAAAACAATTATACAATTAGAGAAATTAATTTAAATAGAAATAATCCTAGAAATTTATGGAATTTGTTAAATAAATTAACAGGCAGAATACGGTCTTCAGTAGACAAAGTATTATTAGAGGCATTTGAAAGCAACAGTGTAAAACCTGTCGACATTGCCAATCAATTTGCCAAAACTATTAGCAATAGTGTAAGGAACATAATGCCACAGTGCCATAAAAACATTTTAGATAAGACTCAATACAGTAATCCAGCTAAAGTCTCGATGCTCTTCAAAAAAGCAAATGCTGACGGCGTTCAAAAAATTATAAACTCCTTAAATAAAAACAAGGCTCCAGGCGTGGATTGCATTCGTGCCATGGATATAAAATTAATTAGCAGTAGAATCGCATTCGCTATAGCTAGACTTATTAACACTAGTGTTCTAACAGGAAAATACCCCGATGAGCTGAAAGTAGGAATTGTTAGGCCCATTTTTAAGAAAGGAAGCAAAAATAACTACGATAATTACAGACCGATCACGATTTTGCCAACTATTGATAAAATAATAGAAAAATATATCTCAACTCAAATACATAAACATTTCAATATCAACAATATACTGACGAAAAAACAATATGGATTCCAGCCGCATAAATCTACGACACAACTGCTATCTGCCTTTACTAATTCAGTTAATGAACACCTCAACAATAAGAAACACGTTCTAATTGTATTCATAGACTACAGCAAAGCATTTGACACGATAAGACATAATGTGCTCATCGAGAGACTAGATGAATGCGGCGTAAGGGGCTCGCTACTAAAATGGTGTGAAAACTATCTTAGCATACGCTACTACTCTGTAAAAGTAGGCGAAGCTTTCAGTGATAAAATGTTGGTAAATGATGGTACGGCGCAGGGCTCAGTTCTTGGACCCCTACACTTTTTGACATACGTCAATAATGTCACAAATGTAATAAAAAAATGTGATTTATATTTATTCGCCGATGACACTTGCCTTTTGTCTGCTCATGACGATCTGAATGAAGCATTAGAAAATTTGCAGATAGACTTTTGTAACCTGATGAATTGGTCGCATGACGCTGGTTTAGTATTTAATGCCAATAAAACTAAACTTATGTATGTGAGTTCATCCCAGAATCGCAAATCAAGTAAAGAACTCAGGCTCATTGCACATGAACACCAGTGCTTACACTTAATAAAAGAAAATTCAACACCTTGCAAATGCCCTTATATAGCATTAGTGGATAGCCAGAAATACCTAGGACTAACAATAGATAGTCGTATGAAATGGACTGAACATATCGATATTGTTAGTAACAAACTGAAAGCTATTCTGGCCAAATTTTCAATTATAAAATATAAAATACCTTACCCTACATTGCGCAATCTGTACATTTCACTTGGGGAATCAATTATTGCATATGGACTTACCAGTTACGGCCTAACCTGTAAAGGTCATCTTGATAAAATTTACGGAATGCAATTAAGAATATTAAAAATTATAGTACCAACTAAAATTAAATTAAAGTACAAAGATGATAACCGCGGCTTGTTCCACCACTGTAATATACTTCCAGTACATGAAAAATTAAAATATATGTTATTAGTTGAACACTTTTTTGATAAAAATCTACAATCCACCTACAGTGGTGAAATAATTACGCGAAATGTCTACAATAAAAAGCTGGTGCTACCGTGTTATCGAAATCTCTATGGTAAAAATAGATTAAAATACATAATTCCTTACCTAATAAACGAAATTCCAAAAGATATTAAAAGTTCTCTAGATGATAAAAACATCAAACATAAATTAAAAACACACTTTTTAAATCAAATTTAATACTAACAAAGATCAATT